GAGCGGAGCGGAGACGGAACGCAAGTAGTATTTTCTATTTAAGCATTAAAACAGCATTTTAATAACAACCAAAGGTGACATAGATACTTTATTATGGTATAGTATTTAAATGTATGCCTGAGAAACACATAATCTTGCCCCTTTAAGTATACAGTGTTGATGTTTTTCTGCTCTGGATTCAGAGCAAAAAAACAACTAATACATAATTTCCATTACGACATGATGGAGTGATTATGATTTGATGTGGTTTCTCCATTTTGTCCATCTAGACTGATGCTGACAAACCACAGAAATGTAAACATTAGAACCAATATTTATTGCAATTTATGCATTTTTTGCGATATGCATTTTGCACTGGTTGTTATCATGATAATGATAAATTTGCGATATATTGTGCAGCCCTAATCTAAATATTTCTTTTGATTAGATTAGCCCCAAAGTCAACAACCTATATACACCTATCAAACCACTCCCTCAACACTCACCCTCCCATGTCTAATCCTCCCTTCCCTTGACTCTCCAAAGCACAGCACATGACAAACGCTCAAGCTGAGTTCTGCTCAATCGGTATGCCAACACTTGCTGGAATATGCCAGCCATATTCCACTATATCTTACAGCACATACAAATCAACAGGCTGTCTCCAATGGACTCTTGGAACAGCCAACGCCACCATGCACTTCCCATAAAGATAGGACCCGTGGCCCAGGACTGACCTGATCTCGAGCGAGCGTGCACTTCCTAAGGGATTTACCAACTCTGTGGAGCCATCGGGCAACACTTCCTCTGAGTAAATACTCCCCTAATCTGACTTTAACACTCTAACCATTGTCCTAACCCACAAACAAAGACCACTTGTCCTGACCAGGTAGGTGATTTTTACCAGAAGGTGTGCTAAAGAGGCAACATAAACAGACACATGAAAGGTGGTGAGAGTCACTACTCCATCTTTATCTTCTACTATAAACGAGGAAGAACGCTGATAAACCATCCAGGCTTCAGAACATTAGTTTGAAGGCACAGATTGATTTTTTTAGGTTGTAAACTAGGGAGAACAAACTTTTCAAATCCCACTAACTTAGGCCACACAGAAGCAAGACCTAAAATGAGATGCAAAATAAATCTGCTTTGTTTGTCAGTGAAGTGACCCTTTCTCAGTTATGTAAATCAGCACCGCCCAAACACAAGAATTCTGGAAATTACCTATTGCACACTGATTTCAGCACTCTTGATGAATTTCCCTACATACACCAAAGCCAGCGAGTTTGTTCTTGTTCCCATTGGTAATTTGAAATGTAATTACCCATCATTTCAGAGTGCTTCAGGAGCCCGACACCTACATATCCCTCCCTGCCTTTCTTCCCTCTGTGTCTCTCTCTTCCTGGCTGGTTTTGTATGCTGGTGAAGGATTGTATATTTTCCACCCCCGTGCATTTTCTTTTTTTTTTAGCACTGCCCCTACCATTACCTATGTAAATGAGTCATGGAACCAACTTTCTGCCACTAAATGTGCGCCCAGGAGACATTCAAGTGCAAAACGTTGATGTGTGCATGACTGAGCATGTAGCAGGAATGAACTGTAAGGTAACCTAAGGTTGTGACACGCTTCAAATGAACTGAACAGGAAACACTGATGGCATCCATTGGGGTCAAAACAAAACCAAAATAATAATGAGTGTGCAATTTCTTGATGTATGTTTCTCTAAATAGGTTGTTAAAATTAACACAAGCAAAACAGAAGCAAAAATAAGCATAACCATAGCTAAAAGTCTAAATCAACAAAATTATAGCTAACAGATATATTTAATGACTGTTTGTAGAAGCTAAAATGAGCAAAACCGTAGCTAGAAGGTAAAAACTAGCAAAATATGAGCTAAAATTATCACATTTGCTAAAAATTTTAAGCTGCAAAAGGTAGTGCACCTTAGTGCGAAAGACCGTGCACATTTGTTCTCCCATGTTTGTTATGCGTGTCTTCTCCGAATGGATGTTCTAAACTGCAAGTTCCTAGTCTGTGTTTATCATTGACAATGGCAATAAAACTGATTCTGATTCTAAAAAAAAATAAACGTAGCAAACTTGTTTATAAGTCCAAATAAGCAAAGATATGTCTACAAGATATTAGTTTAACAGTAAAGCAAAAACGATCAAAAAGTAACCAAGGGCTAAAAACAAACAAAACCACAGCTAAATGCTAACATTAACAAAATTGTAGATAAAAGCTAATTTTAGCTAACTATCAATCAAATGTAAAATTAGGAAAATTTTATCTAGAAACTAAGATTACCAAAATCATACTATAATTAAATCTAGCAAAATTACAGGTAAAAGTAAAAATTAGCAAAAGTGCATCTAAAAGATACATTTAGGAAAATTGTAAAAGAAAATATATTAGCATCAAATTAGCTGGAGGCTATTGCAGAAATAAACCAAAATGTAGCAAAATTGCAGATAACTAAAAGTGAGCAAAAACGATCTTTAAAAGTTAAACATTACCAAGAAAGTGGTTGAAAACAACAACAACAAAAAAAGCCACAGCTAAACACTAAAATTAGCAAAACTGCAGCTGAAAAGGCTGCTACCTTATCGTGTCTGATCCTAGGAGCTATGTTATCTGGGGATTCATGCCACCGGTAGGCAAACAGGTCCTAGGTGAGGGATCAGACAAAGTGCAGCCCAAAGACCCTTTATGATGAGTAACATCAATGGAAATTAGTGGGCCACCAGGGCCCTACTCTGGCCAGCCAGGTCTGGAGGTGGGGCATGCTGGCGATCACCTGGTGGCCCGGACTTTCAACCAATGGAGCCTGGCTGGGCACGGCACAAAAAAGAGACATAGATCCCCCTTCCCATGGGATCACCCCCTGTGGAAGGGGCAGGGGGGTCAGGTGTGATAGGTAGTGGTCAAAGCAGGGACCAGGGGAAGGAGTCTAAGCTGGTGTGTGAGGTTGAGAGGTTTCAACTAGATATAGCTGGACTCACCTCGAAGCACGGCTCTGGCTCTGAAACCAGTCTCCTCGAGAAGGGTTGGAAACTTTCACTCTAGAGTTGCTCATGCTGAGAGGAGCCAAACAGGAGTGGGCAAAGTTGTTGCCCCCCATCTTCGTGCCTGTATGTCCCTCCACAAATGTGTGTGTGTGGGGGGCGGTGGGGGGGGGACATGTTCTGACTGTTGTTTGTGCCTTCGTGCCTAACAGTGCTTCAGATTACACCCATCACTTTTGAAGTCCATGAAGAGGGTGCTGGAAAGCACTCATCATGGGGACTCCCTTGTTCTGCTTGGGAACTTCAATGCTTGTGTGGGAAATGACAGTGAGACGTGGAGGGGTGTGGTTGGGAGTAACCCCCTCCCCACCCAGGTCTGAACTCAAGAGGTGTTTTCTTATTGGACATCTGTGCCTTACTGTCCATAACAGACACATGTTCAAGCATATGGGTGTCCATATGTGCTCTTGGCACCAGGACACCTTAGGCCATTTGCATATCATGGACACTCAGAGGGAAAAGAGGGGCGGAGCTGTCAACTAACCCCTACCTCATGGTCAGTTGGCTTCGACAGTGGGGGAGGAAGTCGGTCAGACCTGGCAGGCCTAAATGTATTGTGAAGCTCTACTGAGAACGTCTGGCAGAGTCTCTCATCAGACCGAGCTTCAACTCCCACCTCTGGGAGAGCTTTGAACACGTTCTGGGGGAGGTGGGGGACATTGAGTTTGAGAAAGATTGTCTGTGCTGTTGCAGCAGCAACCCTCAAACCCACTGGTGGGCACTGACAGTGAGGGATGCTGTCAAGCTGAGGGAGGAGTCCTATCGAGTCTTTTAAGCCTGTGGGACCTCGGAAGCAGCTGATGGGTACCAGCAGTCTAATCAGAATGTAGCTCGGGAGGTCGCTGATGCAAAAACTTGGGCGTGGGAGGAGTTCGGAAAACCCAGTGAGAACAATTTCCATAAAAAAATGGAAAATGCATGGTAGATTTTTTTCTAAATTTTCAGGCAGTATTCATCTGGACCCTCCTACGATCACATTGTGTCACTGGCATACGTTAATTGGTTTAGGTGTCCCTTATTGCCACCAGCAAACGTTGGCAAATTTGGTAGTGTTTGTCTTAATCATGTCTTGATTTATTTGACAAGGACTTTGCTTGTTAAACTGTAAGTGTTTTCCATTTAGTTATAATGCAAATATTAAACCAAGATTTAAATCAATTATCACTTTGATCAGTACATTGTTAATGTGTGAATGGGTCTTGTGCCACTTTAGACTCAACAAGTTGGGCCCCAAGGTCAAAAAGGTTAAAGAACCCAGGCTCTGGATGTCGTGGGGTTGTGTTGATTGATGTGATTCTGCAATATTGCATGGAAATATGGGCAGTTCCTCTAGACTGGCAGACCAGGGTGCTGGGTTCCCATATTTAAAAAGGGGGAGAGCAGAGTGTGTTCCAACTATAGGGGGTTCACACTCCTAAGCCTCCCTGGTAAGGTCTATTCAGGGGTTCTGGAGAGGAGGGTTCATCAGATAACTGAAACTCAGATTCAGGAAGAGCAGTGTGTTTTTCGTCCTGGTCGTGGAACACTGGAAAAGCTCTACACCCTCAGCAGGATCCTGGAGGGTGCATGGGAGTTCGCTCAACCAGTCTACATGTGTTTTGTGGACTTGGAGAAGACCTTCAACCGTGGCCGTTGGGGACTCCTGTGGGAGGTACTTCAGGAGTATGGGGTATCAAGCCCTTTGATACGGGCTGTTAGGTCCCTGTATGACCGATGCCAGAGTTTGGTCTGCATTGCCTGCAGTAAGTCGGACTCGTTTCCAGTGAGAGTTGGACTCCACCGATGTTGCCCTTTCTCCCTGATTCTGTTCATAACATTTAGGTCAGAATTTCTAGGTGCAGCCAATGTGTTGAAAGGATCTGTTTTGGTGACTGTTCGGTATTTTTTAACCTAGAACTCAGAGAAACTCAACAACCCCGCCGAACATTTAAACAATGACAAACAGAGACCAGTAAGATTTTTTTGTTTCACTTTGCAAAGGAGAAATTCTGAGATACTTAACTCTGCTCGAAAGCACAGTGAAGCACAGAGAAGTTCTGACCTCTGGGGGCGTGAACAGTCGTTTTATTCACACACGTAGGAATGAAGTCACACAATGTTACAACAAATCAGAGATCAGTTATGTGGTTTGTCATAGGCATAGGAACCAATCAAAACACTTGTTGCTGGGGTTTAATATGTGAATAATAGTAAAAACAACACAGACTTGTTTTGTCTTACCAGCTCTGCTTTAGAGCATTTTCTGTCTGCTGCACTCTGTGGACACGCCATGATGAATAATACATTTGTCACGTACCTCAAGACTTTATTTGAAACACCTTAAGAAGTTTAATAAATTCAATAAAACTCTATCAGTGACCTTAAGATCGTGTCTCTGCTTTTTGCAGATGATGTAGTCCTATTGGTTTCATCAGATTGTTATCTCCAGYTTTCTCTAGAGTGGTTCACTCTGGATAGTGACTGAAAGAACAAGATCAAAAATACAAGCGGCCAAAATTAGTTTCCTCATTTGAGGGAGTGTCTGGGCTTTCCCTTAGAGATAATCTGAGAGGGACTCAGAGCAGAGTCGCTGCTCCTCCACATTGAGAAAAGCCAGTTGAGGTGACTCAGGCATCTGGTTATGATGCCTCCTGCACACCTTTGGTTAAAAGCTAAAAGTAGCAGGACATTATCAATTACTGTAACTTAATGTTGCAATATGAAGTAAAAGCTGCAATTAGACGTCATCTAAAGGCTAAACTCAGTGAGACAGTAGCTAAATGCTAATGGGAAGACAAAATAGAGCAGATATTTGGGGAGAATTAGGACAATTTTAGTGTTCTTCTATAGTGACATTTTTGTTAAAAAGTTAAAGAGCATAAAAGTTACAAACGTTCAGAAGAAACTATAAACAATTAAACAATTAAGGGAATGCTGATTCAGAATTTATGCAAAAATCACCCCCCAAAAACAACCTTTTGAATTTTTTTGTGAGTCCAAGAGGCTTCATAAATATGTGATCAAATAAAACCTTCATAATAAAGTTTCTCAGTTTCTAATTTCTTTTTATTGCATCTGAACCATAAATCCCATAAGGTGTTAGTAAATTAGACACCGATGTGGTTAATGAACTGAATATCTGTGTGGGAGGCATGATCATGTGTGATGTTATTGTTTTGGAACAATTTTAACCTTGATGAAATGTTGTACCTGAAAAGGCTGGACTCCAGTTCCTCTGAGAAGTCTTGAGGTTCCCATGCTGGCATCCAACACCATCTGCACCCTGAATGTAGAAGAAACAAAACGAAACAAATAAAATAAATAAAAAACACAGCTTGATGAGCGTCAAACAGGCTTTGTGAAGCTTAAACTTTAGCTTTGCTTTGTGATTTTATCACCAACCAACTCGGTGTTAAAGCAAATGTTTTTAAATGTGTTCATTTCTTTTTTAGTTTTAAGCTCGTTGTTTGAGTCTGATTCATCCGACCGACACCTGTCAACACATTCAGCCTGGCTTTTTTCATTGCTTTTTTTCGTGTGTGTTTTAATTCGTGCTCTCCAGCAGCTTAAAACTGCATCAGCTTGAAAAGCCAGCCGTGCATCAACAATTACCTGCAGACTTTGTGCTTTTCAAAAAGCGTCCTTGCTTTTATTTCCATGTGTTCCTACGCAAAGTGCTCATGAAAATGGTGCTGTCAATCAAGTCTGCTCGCTCGCCACCTTCATCTTGGTTAAACGGTCAGATATTACTAATAGCACAATATGAACTGTGCTTTATTGCTGCAGAAATACTATTTGTAGATAAGTTAACTAGGAATAATGTTGACTAAAATTTCAAATTTGCTGACAAATGCAGAGGATTACTCTTAAGACATCTCAGTGGAAAATGAATGAACAGTTTAAATCATACCTATTTGGAGAACCAAAATTTAGAGAAAGAAAATTTTTGTTTGACCAGGTTGACCAAGCTAATGCTACAAATATGATTAACAAAGCTAAAGCCAACAAAACCATAGCCAAATGCTAAAATGAACTAAATTGTAGCTAGAAAATATTGGGGAGAAAAATTGCTTAAAGGGGCAATATTATGTGTTTCTCAGGCATATATTTAAATACTATACCATAATAAAGTATCTA